TTTATTTTCGTAAATGAATGAAAACAGAAAAAGTGATTAAACAGTGACCCTGTACTTTCAGTAATATCATATATAGCTATAAAAGAATGAATAATTTAATGCATAACAGCTTGTATTTTTTTTTTTTCTGTTTCAGAGAATGCTTTTGTGGGATTTCTTTGACCTTCATGATGATCAGATACTCTTCCACCTGGATCTTGAAGATGTTTTAGACTTATTTACAGATTCTGACGATGATTCAGAGTATAGTGATTTAGACGAGTAGAAAATTCTTGTTGGAGTGTTTAGATTTCGTTAATTTTGTAAGATATCTCACAGAACCATTGGTATTATCCGACATCTGTAGGGCTGTATCTATTAGGTAAACTATGTCACATAACAGTGGTTGTATCCATTCTCTTTATAACATCTATTCCAAAAGCCAGTTATTATTGACTAACAAAACATTTTCCCACGATATTAATGACGTTTTTATTGCTTTGAAATAGAAGAAAAATATCAGGCCTTTTCCTCATTGGCCTTCATTGTCAGAATTTTGTAAATTTTCAAACTTAAAAGAATTGCACTTTGCTTCAATTATGTTTAATATTTTTTCTTCTCTCGGTAATCCTTTTCTGCCACCTGGTGTTGTAAAAATAAATTATTTCAAAAACTGTTGAAAATGTAACTTTGTATGAAAAAGTTTTCTGCTCTCCTTTTTTTTATGCTTAAGTGAAAAAAAAATGTTTTGTTACAAAATTCCAGCTCTTAAAGAAAAAAAAGATTGTATAAAAAAATCTTAAAACTAGAAACAGAAAATTTAAATTGTTATATTTCCTAATCTAAAGATTTCAATACATTGTGTTTAATATTTCCTAAGTGTTTGCTTGGAGTAGAGTGAGTTTTACGCTGTTTTTGTGAAGTATTAAATGATTTAAATTGTTTTGTTTAAATTAATATACTCGGGTACTATTTCGGATCAAATGTTTGTACTAAACTTTCTCGAGCTACTTGATTAACGATAATTCTAGTCCTTTCATTGTGTGTTGTTCTTGTGTTACTGCAGTGGGTCCAGAAGTTTGCTTCTAACGATAACTTTCATCGATTGGGATCCGACAAATTAATAGACATGCCCTACCTGTTACTGGTTTGTAACTTTAAAATAAACCACTTGGTTTCAGAGGATCATCTCATACTTGTTTCATGAAATAAAATTCTGTTGTAAGACTCGAAGAATGCTAACAACGTTTATTAGTCGCCCACCGTTTGTTAATCATGTTTTCTCTTTTAATACCACGAACATTTCTTAAAGATATAAGGATACATAGATGACTTAAAAACATTTCTTAAAGATATAAGGATACATAGATGACTTAAAAACATTTCTTAAAGATATAAGGATACATAGATGACTTAAAAACATTTCTTAAAGATATAAGGATAC